CTTGTGGGTGCAGGATAGCTAACAGTCAACAGTTAACTCAATGACAAGGAGGGGATTTGTGGTCTCCACAGGGGTGCCTGTGCTGAGGATTTGGGGGGGTGGGGGGGAGTAACTCTGACATCCCAAAGACTTGTTACAGTAAATTCAAAAAGACAATGGACAGGCTCAGTGACGGTAAAGGTTGACCTTCATCAGGGAAGATGCCTGCCTAGGACGTGATACCCACCAAAACCTGCTTTTAGCTGAAAAGTTTTAATTTCTAACCATCCTTTGAGGCTATGTTAGGTCTCTGAGTTTGTGCGGCCACCACGCAGGCCTCCTTGAGCCTGGCAGGTGAGCATGGGCCCCTTTTCATCCACATTGCCCAGACCCCCACCCCCCCACCCCCCACAAGAAAACCCTCCTTCCCCAGAGGGGCTGACGCTCCGCACGTGCTTCTGGTTTTGCTTTCTGCGTGTATCACATGCATCCTCTGCGGGTTCATTCTGCTTGTTGGGAACTTCGTGTACATGCATGGTGATGGGAGTGGTGTTTGGCTCTTGCTTCTTTGCTTCGTATCTGTGAGGTGCGCCATGCTGTGCAGCTCCTCACGGTGTTATCGCACTGCAGTCTGTCACTTCCCGTTGGGGACTATTTGGGTTGCTTCTTTGCTTTGTCTCGTGGTGAACGGTGCTGCTATGAACCCCACTCCTTTGTGTAAGTCTCTCTAGGAGAGTCCGTGGGGAAGGGCCCGGGTCCCGGGGGCTGCAGATCCACAGTGCGCACACCAGGTGCCCTCCCACAGGCACCGAGGCCAGCTCCTCCTGCCCGTCTTCATGGAAACTGGTATCCGCAGTTTTGCATGTTTGGTGGTCGGGTGGTATTGGTGGTCCTGGAGGGTTTTATGCGTCTTCCTGTGTTCCGATGGGGCGGAAGCCTGGCTTCTGTGTGGGCCGTTGGATTTTCACTGCTTGTTGGGAGGGTTGACGGCCTGTCCTGGCAGGCTGCTATTCCCCCGCCTTCGTACCCTTCGAGGGTACAGCTGTGTCCACAGCTCAGTTGCTTCAATATCCGGGTGGCTTGTTTGAAATGGGTTCCTGAATGGTTTCTTATAGGAAAGTAATGTTTTATATTCATCAGGAAAGTATGCCTTGTAATAGCATTAAGAGCCAGGTTTGGAGGAATAATAGGAACCTTTTTCTAATACACAGAAATAAAGTTGTGTTATTTGCTGAGAATAGAATAATTTGGGATGGTCTTGATTTCACATTTGTCAAAATTATTTGTGTCTCTTTTGTTCAGGCACTGCTGACAATTTGAGACTGTTAATTAATTTTCTAAAACTAGAAACCAAGTAGATAAGCTGAGAAGGCCTCTCTCCATCCTTCTTTGCTAAGAATTTATGTCAGAAATTACAAGGTGATAGTGGTGGTCTGCTAGTAGTTTTTATATGGCCTGAGCAGTGTTTTAGGTTTGAGGGTTTTTGTTTGGAGGGGGAGGGTTTGATTTGATTTTTAGTTGAGACAATATTTTACAATTCAGATATAATAAAAGCCTAATATGCAAATTGTCCCTTTGAATGGGAGTTCAACCACTTGCTATAATGTGAGCTGACCACCAGAGGGCAGCGCAGAACATGACAGTTGTCAATGACGAGGCGCTGGCAGCAGGTGTCAGTGGAGGTGCTGCCGGCCCCATTGGGCTTCCAGGTGAGCTGGGCGCAGCCACCAGGACACAAGGGCCGGTCGGGCTCCCATGGGTTTGCACAGGAGCCGGTCTGCGAGGCTGGCCGGGAGAGAGTGCACTGCCCGCCCGGCTTCCATGCAGCGCCACTGTGTGTCCCAGAGGCCCACGCTGTGCACCAGCCCATGGTGTCTGGCCACACTCACTGCATCTCCATGTGGGACTCGGGCTCTGTGACTCAGGTGGAGGGGGGTGCTCAAGGGCCCGGGGGTCAGCTGGGACCTGTCCTTCCACACTAGACGCTTGCACTTTGATCGCTGGCGAGGCCTAGGGACTGCACCCGTGTACGAATTTTGTGCACCCAGCCTCTAGTCTATATATAGGGGCAGAGCATAAAAGATCAGTACGACCAGACAATTGGCTGGTAGTTATGACATGCACTGACCACCAGGGGGCAGACGCTCAACACAGGAGCTGCCCCCTGGTGGTCAGTGTGCTCCCACAGCCAACCTCCCGCTGTCCCTCCCCTACACTGGCTGGCCCCGATCGGCCCCAATCGCTGGTCAGGCTGAGGGACACCACCATGCATGAATTTGTGCACTGGACCTCTAGTCTCACATAAAGCTCTGAGGTTTTGCCTTATTTTTTAAAATATGCAATCAACAGTGGATCCATATTCGCACACGGCAGCAATTTCCTGGATGAGTGGTGGCTCCTTGCCAGCCATGGAGTCTGGTGGTTGTTCTGAGTATCTAAAATCCCCTTCTCCCACATCAGTAGAATTTTTAGTTAGCCCCATGGTGCCTCAGATAAAGACTACATTTCCAGTGCCCTTACAGCCGGGGATGGCCGTGTCCTTCTGGCCAACGAGGTTAGAGAAAGTGGTGGCTTAATCATATGAACCGGCTTCCTCATGTGAGGTAGGCGTGCATACACTCACTGCATACTTGCGAAATGAATAAGTGCACTTATGGTGAAAGGCAGCTGCTCCTGTAGTGAGGTCTTGATTGCTACAAAGGGAACTAAAGACAAAGAGTGAGTGAGTGCTGGGCTGGTAAAGTTCCCACGGACCCAGAGGAAAACACACGTGTGGCTTGTGGTGATGATTAATAAAAAAGCGTTGTCCTTCCTCTACTGTTTCAGAACATGTCCATCTATTTACTCCTCATACAAAACTGACAAGCCAACTTCTTCAAAAAGGAAGTGGGATTTGAAGTTCAGAGCATAAAAGACAAGATTGAGAAAAATAAATACCATTATTGGGAGTTGACAGGTGACCTTTAATAGGAGTAAGTTGGATTGTGATGTAGTTTGGTTTTCAGGAAGCCCAAACCAGTTTCCCAAGATTGTCACTGTGGGTAGGCCGTGCCGCTCAGATTTCAATGAATGGAGAGTCATCTTCTGTAAGAACAGGAGCCAGGGGACTTTATTTCCTGCAGCAGTTTGTGAGGCCTGACCTCTCACCTGTAGGAAGGGCCACGAACCTAGTTTGGAAGGAAATGTTGCCAGGGGCAGAGCATGGTGTCTCCAGCCAGGTGACTCGGCTGTGTTCCCACTGAGAGACGGGAGTCTAGGGGCAGTTGGCTCGGTGGTTCCTTGGTTGCCCAGGGCATGGTCAAGAAGCTTGGAAACCAGAATCAGAAAACTTGCTTCTGTGGACAGAGAAGGAGAATCACTTACCCCAAACCTGACCACGTGACAAGAGTAACCACGTGACTTCCTGATTCCGCTCAGCACAGCGTGGGCCAGCAGACCTGCCTGTAGGCGTGCGTGGTTCCGTCCCATCCCCTGTGGCAGTGGGTGCTGAATGAGTGCTCCCGGGGGGAGAGTCACTTTGGGTTCAGGGTTTGCTCCTCCAGTTGGGGGTTCATCTCTTTCACTCTCAGGATTCACACACGCCCCAGGGAAGCTAATGTAAATGCCTCAGTGATGGAATTTAAACTAATGGGTTCTGCGTTTTCATTTGTAATTAGGAGTGAGGGTGACTGTGCTTTGCAAGAGAGGAGGAAGTTCTGCTCTGGGGGTCTGCCAGGGAATCGGGAACTAGAATAGAATGGTCTGGCCTTGGCCTTGAGAGCCGAACAGACTGGCATTGCCTTCTGGCCTCTTCACGCGCGTAGCAGCTGTGAGACCCTGAGCAAGTGTCTTAGGCTCTCCGACCCTCACACTCACACCCGCGCAGCGAGGGTAATCATAGGCCCTGCTGCTTGGGGAGAGCTGTGATGAGACGTATGTGAGGTAGAAGCCCCGAGTGCATCGCATGGCTCCTGGCTCCGTACTCTCCACCAAGAGCACAAAGGTACAGCCTGGTGGAGAGGAGGGGAGTCCTGATCCCCAGCTGGTGAGCACCAGTTTGCTCCGGATTGTGAGTAGCTGCTTAGGGACTTGTCCTGGCTCTGACAGGCCTGGGGAGCCGTGCTGCTCCTCCAGGCTGCCTCCTCCAGTGGCTGGGGCAGGGGAGAGCACCTGCCCTCATGCAGTGCAGGCCCAACCAGCTCTCCCTGCTCTCCCTCCCGTGAAATTCCATGAGGCCGCACCCTTCTCTTTGGATCAGCAGGATTTTGCCATTTTAAATCATTAGGTAACAGCTGGCCTCTTGTGGGTGCATTTCAGTTCACTTGATGCAATGTCAGCGATGCCCTGGGTTTCCTTGGAAACATGATTTCTCATCACAGCTCTTCCCATGCAATAGGGACTGTTATTACCCTCATTGCACAGGTGCGGGTGCGAAGGTAAATTTTAGAGAATAAGAAAGTAATAGAAGATCTACCTAAATCTTTTTGTTGCAATATCTAATGTAAAGTCTACATAAACCTTTTTATTGCCATGATAATGATATCTAATATAAAAAATGGGCGATACTGTATGAATGGTTTTATGATAACCATTCCAGCATGGTGAATTTTATGTATCCACTAAAGGTAATTATGAGGCTACTACAGAAAGGTGGAGAAAGAATTTACAAAATTTGAAAAATGCTGTCTAAAAATAGAATATGAAATGTGCCCAATATAACAATAATTCTGTAATAATAGAGATGCATACAGGAAATATATAGTGAAAACAGCTACAAGTTTATGAGGAGAGTAAGGAAGATGGGGTTGAGGTAGCTTAATATGATTACTTAAGTTTTTTCATCTTTTTAAACTTTATAATATCAAATGGCATGGGGTTTGTCAAATTCAGGGCTCGCTCCGGTGGAGACCAGCGCCTTGTGGTGCTGACAACATTACTGGAGCCCGGGGTGCTGTGGCTATTTTCTGGTCTCACCTGGTTACCAGCTTGGATGACGTTGTGGGTGACCATGCCTGACATGACTGTGTTCCTCTTCTTTTTAGTGATGAAGATGCCAGGAAGGATCTAAGGACACTCTCAGCCTTCCCTACCAGAACTCTGCAGGAGCATCCGTCCCTTGCTTACTGGTAAGCCAGAGCGAGGCAGCCGGTGACCGGCCTGTCACACCTCCGTGAGCACAGCGGCTTTCAGGGGGTTAAACGAAGTATAAGTGAAGACAGTGTCACAGTGCCCATCGGTGTGTCAGAGTCGCCGTAGTAGACGGTGGTCCTTCCAGTGGGAGGATCTCCTCACAGCTCCCTGGAAATCATTGTGCCCAGAGCGGAGTCATTGTCAGGAGCATCCAGCTGCGTGCCATCTTGCTGCGTGGGGAAGGGCCTGCAGAGGGCGCTGTGGCGAGCACAGAGTTGGGGGGTGGGTGTCATGGCCAGGCCTGAGTCTGGAGTGCAGGGAACTGCTACAAACTGCAGAGTGCCCTGGACAGATATTTTCCTAATAAGCAGCAATCGTTTCCTCTGTGGCCAAAAGTCGGTATATATTTTGAATTACTTTATTTGGTTGTGTTTTAATGATTTCATAGTACCCATTTTTCACATAACATTTTTTCTATGAAGGTACTCCCCCCCCTTAATTACTTACTTCCATTACCTGTAAATATATTTTTCTTGGTTGAAGGCTCCAAATCCTAAAGATGGTTTTCTTTTCCACTAAACACTGATTATAAGATAAATACTCAACGTTAGTAGCATTAGTAGGAAAGCTGGAACACATTACTGAGACTGCGTTGCATTCTGTCTGGAACCTTCTAAACGAATTGTCATTAAGTAATAGTTTTTTAGGAAAGAAAAAGACCAATGGGTGTCGATTACCAGAAGTAGAGAGAGAAAAACATTCACTCGCCTCGCTTCTACTTGAAGCCTGGCTGAAAGCTGCCTGTCTGAACGTGGGCACAATGGCTGGATGATGTCCAAGGCTGCTGGACTCCAGCCTGCTCCTCCCCAGTTAGACCAACATTTCATCCCAGGGCAACAATGAAGGATTTTCTCCCAAAACACTGTGTCCCCACGTAGTGACAATAGAGTATTTTAGATTGAACGCAGAAGCAGTTTTAGTTCTTTCTAGATCTCTCTGACTAACGTAAGGAAACTGTTGAATACCTAACACCCACTGAGCTCTCTTTGCTAACACTACTTTGAGTTTATTATATTTCACTCAGTTATGACAACGGATATTAGTTTTTCATTTGATAAATTGATATTATGTTTCTTTTTCTAATAAGTTAAGTTTTAAAAACATTAAATTTTATGAATACATTGTATATTAATAATAATAATAGCATGTTAATGTTATTAAATTATATGAATACATCGTATAAAACATAAGTTTAAAAATCATGACGAGGTAGTCAGATGTCTGAGGTTTGAATCCTGCAGGAACCCACATCTATAGGCACTCAGTCAGCATCTGTCCCAGCGGTGGGAAGGCCTGCCTTCTGGGGTTCCTGCAGTAGCCATTGGGGCTGGAAACGAGTCTGTGTCGTATAATCAGGCGTCGCCATCTCCTTGTTTTGCAGTGAGGACAGAGTCATCGAGCATTACCTGAAAGCCAGAGGTCTGACCCGGGGTCAAGCTGTGGTCCAGTAAGTACCCTTCTCTCCTCGGGCTCCGGCTTCAGTGAACGTCTTCCGTTTACAGAAGCCAGTGGCATGATTTCCGCTGGGTGGTTTGTGTGTATGTGGTCCTCATCTGATTACAAATCTCTCACCAGGAGTTATAAAATGTCTCGGCTCGCTCCATATTTGTGTCATCGGTTCAGATGCTATCAGTGTTGGGCAGATAACAAAACTGAGAAATACAGGCCACGTGTGGGGCGATAAGGAATGGTGGGGACTGCGGTGAACCGGAGAGTTTTTGCCCTGGGCAAAGCTACTCAGCTCAGTGTTACCGGATCTTCAGATGTGTTCCATGAAAACCTGGAACTCCTGGTTTTTAAATCCCATTTTAAACATTGCAAAGTAATTTTAAGAAAATTTTAGTGCAACACGAGCCTAACAAACCCTGCCTGGAGGCCACGTTTGTTGCCAGGTTTGTGACCCCATTTCCGATGGAGCACACAGTGTTGGTGGCAGGTAAGCTGTCTCTTCATGCTGCCCAGAAAGGGCGTGTTGACATATTTCTGCACGTTCCACTCTTAGAGTTACCCTCCATTTATTAAGAATAGTTCACGGGGCCCTGACTGGGGAGCTCAGTTGGTTAGTGTGGCATCCCAATATGCCAAGGTTGCAGGTTCAATCCCCAGTCAGGGCCATACAAGAATCAGCCAGTGGCCCTGGCCAGTTTCTCAGTGGTTAGAGCTTGTGGACCAAAGACTCTCAGGTTTGAGTCCCCATACCTGGGTTGTGGGTTCGATCCCTGGTCCCAGTTGGGGTGGAGGCAACCAATGGAAGTCTCTCTCTCTCCCCCTTTCTCCCCCCCTTCCTGCCTTTCCTTCCCTCTCTCTAAAAAAGGCAATGCAAAAAAATATCCTCAGATGAGAATTAATTTTTTTAAAAATCAACAAATGAATGCATAGATAGATGGAACAACAAATCAATGTTTCTTTCTCTCTCTCTAAACAAAAAATCGTTCACAGCTACAGTAAAATTTTAGAATTATAAAATCTAAATTTATAATTATAAAAACTAATGATGCATTTTTTGTATAGTAATTACAATAACTTTTATGGCCATAGAAATTAAAAAAAAAAACATTACTGAATATAGGTCAGGGCATGTGAGAACTGAAATTTCCTCGTATCCCTACATCTTATAGTAATCTCCTTTGTTGTTATTTTGTTTTGTTTTGATTTGAGAGTGAGAGACAGAGGGAAGGCGAGTGGGGAGAGGGAAGAAAGAGAGAGAGAATGAGATATATATATATATATATAGAGAGAGAGAGAGAGAGAGAGAGACATTGCTTTGTTGTTCCACTTTTTTATGCATTCATTCATTCATTCTTGTATGTGCCCTGACCGGGGGTTAAACTCGCAATCTTGGTGTATCGGGACGACACTCCAACCAACTGAGCGCCCTGGCCAAGGTCATACTAATCTCCTTTTCATCATAACAACTTTCTGTGACCTTTACGGTGAACATCAGAGTTAGCGGTCCTGAATCCTTGACATCTTAGTTCATTGAACCAATTTTCTGAAATGAAATAAAGGAAGAGAGAAACACAGGAGTAACAGTGTCCCTGGGGGATTTAAGGTTAGGCTCATCAGCATATTGTAAAGACTCCTTGTTTAAATGCAGAGCCATTTTATTTCTGGTCGTTATCACTGTGGCTCCAAACAAGAGGCTGTCTAACTTGGTAGGTAAGGCTCTGGACCAGAGGTGGGGAACATGCAGCCTGTATAAGGCCCCAGAATCATTTGGGCTGGCCCTGCCATGGCACTAGGGGTGAGTTAATTAAATGTTTGACCAAATATAGCTGGCTAATTTTCTTTTTGTTGTTAATCCTCACCCGAGGGTATTTTTCCATTGATATTTTAGATAGCATGGAAGGGAGTGGGAGAGACACAGAGAGAGAAACATCAATTTGAGAGAAACACATTGATTGGTTGGGGGCTGGGGGTCGAGCCTGCAACCAAGGTATGTGTCCTTGACCATGATTGAACCTGGGACCCCTCAGTCCTAGAGCTGACACTGTATCTACTGAGCCAAACTGGCTAGGGCTAGCAAGCTAATTTTTAAGTTGATAATTTTGTTTGGCTGATGAACGATGTTATAAATATCCAAGTAGCAGAAAAAAGGTTCCCCACCCCTGCTCTAGACTCTAAAATTTGGCTTGATTTGCTAGAATCCTGGCTGTGCAGTGTAATTGCTGCATGACCTTGACACACTTACCTAACCTCTTATATTGATTTCATGTAGGCTATTTGCTTTTAAAAATCACCAAATTATTGGTTACAAAATCCAGAGCAATTAATCTTCAAGTATCATTAACAAGTCCCATCAAACTGGAATCTCAATTCTTTGTAGGCCGAGAGACAGTCTTACACAATTTAGTCCACTCCATAAAGCCTCAGAGGTACACAGTAAATACTTGTTGAATTAAAAATAGCAATGGTAGCACTGTTGCTCTAATTTTTACTTGGGATGAGGGAGTGGGCGTATTTTTAAAAATTAAGTTTTTATAGAATAAACTTTTCCTTTTTTAAGTGTATATTTTGAGATTTTTAACTTAAGAGTTGAATATATATTTCTAAGAGTTTACACAATCAATAATACATGGAATAGCTTTATTTTTTACTTATGAGAATGACCCAAAAGTTGGCTCTTATTGTTTTGCATTATTAGGTGCTTAGTGTAAGAAATACTTGCAATTTGAATGTATAATACAGTACAATATACTTCTAAGCCATAGAAATCTTTATATGTAGAAAATAACATTTCCTATAGCTTTTTTAAATTGAAGTTTTCTTGGTAACCTCCTAATATTTGGATGAAGTAAAATATATTACTCCTTAGAATGCTTTATTTTGTTTCTACTTCAGTCAAATACACTTAAAATGAGAAAAGTCAATATAAATTGTATTTCTCTCAATCACTTTCCCCAGAAGGGCCCTCTGTTTTAGTAAGAGGTTATAATATATTCATTTCCCACAGATATATGAAAATAGTAGAAGCTCTACCGACCTACGGAGTCCATTATTACGCAGTAAAGGTGAGTGTCTCTACGTGCAAGGCTTTCGTGATGCCATGTCACTCTGAGTCAGTGAACACCAGCTTTCTAAAACTGTACAAATCAATATGCATATATATATATTATATATATATATATATATATATATATATATATATATATAATATATATATATATGTAAGTTATCTAGAAATTTGAGCATTGAGAATAAGATTGATTTTCTTAAGGAAATAAAAAAAGCCAAATAGCTTGTCACTTTTAGCAAATTATAAAGCAAATTTTTGCCAAATACTTGCTATGTTCAAATGTTTTCCCAAAGCCTCTGTGAGTCCGAAGATATTCAGATCATTCTCTTGTTACATCTGTCCTCTTAGCTATTCCTACTTACTTTTCTCCTTTCCAATTGTTCACCTTTCTGATGCCACCAGAAATTCACTCACATTGCACTCACATTGTCGAGTCCGTATCTTCTTAAAATGCTCACAGGTTTGCAACTCAGTTTTCCATCAGTACGCTTGGTGCTTGTGTAGTGTCTGTAGATGTTTATAAGCGGAAGGGAGTGACTAAGGAGTACTGTGAGGTGAGAAGAGAGAAAGCAGGTTAAAAAGGGAGTGATGTTTGAAGACAAAATAGTTTTATAATTGATCAATCTTGAGTGACTCTTCAAATTCCAACAATGTTTACAATTCAAAATGGTGGAGAATTGGATAATAAATGCCTGCACAATGGGGACACCCAATACTAAATATGTGTACTAAGGCAACTTTAATTTCTACTGATTCCTAGTTTGTTTGCATATAGCTATATGTTCCAACCTAAGTTTTTCTTTCCTATGTCAATACACCCTATGCTTTTCAAGACCTAAAAGGTAAATTTATGGAAAAAATATTTCTCCCCTCCCCATATGTACCTCACAGGCATTATTCATACATTCCCAAGTTCACTGTATTACAAACATCAGGATTTAGAACTACTTTTTACATCTTGGGAAACTTCCCTGACCTTTATAGCTGGTTACTAATCAAGAGAACAAAGAGCTTTCTTTCTCTCTTTTTTAAATAGATAACTGCTTTGTACTTTGGATTAATTCTTAGTTGAATTACCTATATTTCATTTCTTCTCCAAATGTTTAATCCAAGCAGTAATGCTTCAGTCTCTTTGATGGTATTAATACTATTGGTCTGTTTTGGCCTAAAGGTCTTATTTGAAGAAACTCTAAGAAGACATTTTAATAACAAGTTAGGTTCATAAGTGCTGTTTTGTTTACAGACAGCCTCCCTGGGACCTGCGGGTACTTGTTATAGGGTGGGCCCGGCGCTCGGCCACCTCCAGACGGCTAACAATGGGTCTTGGTTCTCATGCTTTTCCATCTTCCAGGACAAACAAGGACTTCCTTGGTGGCTTGGCATCAGCTATAAAGGAATCGGCCAATATGACTTACAAGATAAAGTGAAACCTCGGAAAGTAAGTGTGAATCACCTCAGACTCTTAGGAGCCCCGTGAGCTGTCCTATGGCTGGGAGTGTTGCTTTAGGGACACAAACAGTCTTGGGCAAAGCTGGTTAGTGAGGCGAAGGGTTCAAGGAAGGGTTTCAGGGAAGGGGTTCAGGGAAGGCTCCCGTAGCGTGAAGTGTACGCACAGAGGTGAGCTCTGATCACAGCCTCGTTCACAAGGGCATGCAAGGAGGTTTCTGTCTGAAGTTATTAATTCGATATTTGCACATACGTATAGATGCATATTCACTGGGTGGGTAAACAGACGGGTTCATTGTGAAGACATAAATCAAAATTTCTTGTGCCATTCCCTCTCAGTGATGTGGTAATGAGTGATCTTCTTAATGCTCTTGCTATTTTTGCTTGTCTTTGTTTCACAATTTTCCACACTAAACATGAATGTTTTCTGTAAAGAAAAGTAAGTTATGTGCTGTTTCATAAAGAGTCACATTCTGCTGGTCTGGGTTTCCCAGAGCTAATAAGAGACATTGTTTTCAGTTTGAAGTTGGATCATGAGGTTGTTTCTCTCGGCCCAAGCACCAGCAGACAGCACGTGCTTGCCGGGTGAGAACTGGTGAGTCCATGTGGATAGCCGGCGGCCACCTGGCCTGTCAGTGTCCTAAGGACTTAGAGGCTTACTAGGCCTTTCTGTAAGTGTCCTTTCGCATCCATCGGTGCTCACCATCTTCCTTGCAGTGAGGGAATGAGTAAAGCTTGTTTCCTCCCCATTTTATGGTGAAACTGACACATACAACACAAAAGCGTGGGCAGGGCCACCACAGCCCTTCCACGCCTGGCCACCTCTCCGACCAGACTGGTTGGGCATTGAGGCTTATCCAGAAGTGCCAATACAAGCATTAGGGCATTTTTTACAACCGGAAAAGGCAAACACTACAGAAACAGGCCAGGGAGAGCAGGAAGTCCTTTCTGGTCCGCTTGACCCTGTGATGACCGGAGTCAGAGGAGTGTCTCAGACTTTCTCAGTGTGTGCACTGAGATTTCCAGCGAGAAAGAAAGCTGGCTGCACACTGACCCGTACTCCATCTTGTTTCTTCAGGTGATACACACACATCTCTCTTCCCTCTTTGTAAAGCGCCCGGTGTTCCATTATGAGGGAGCATATGTGTTTAACCAACTGCCTTTCGATGCCCATTATGGTGTCCCCGTTGTGGGAGGGTGGGCTGGAGCTGCATCCCAGCCACAGGAACAACGGACCCCTAGTTTATCTATTTTGTCAGATCAGATTGTGGCAGGTCATGGTTCTTAAGGCAGGCCTCAGTTGTGCTGACATATTTTTTGGAAATTTATTTCTCGCTTTAATTTTACTTTAAGAAATAACATGCAGCCCTAGCCGGGTTGGCTTAGTGGATAGAGCGTCTTCGGCCTGAGGACTGAAGGGTTGCAGGTTCGATTCCAATTAAGAGCACATGCCTGGGTTGCAGGTTCAATCCCCAGTAGGGGGCATGCAGGAGGCAGCCGATCAATGATTCTCTCTCATCATTAATGTTTCTATCTCTCTCTCCCTCTTCCTCCCTCTCTGAAATCAATAAAAATATATTTCTTAAAAAAAGAAAGAAGTAACATACAGGAGTCTTGCTGGATTTTGAAACTTGCATGTAAAATATAACTTCAGTTGGCTCATAAGTCATCTCATAGCTAATGTGGCTGATGAAGTTGAGCTTCCCACCGGCTGCACGTTCTTCCCTGAACACAGTGTCCTCCCCCCCCTCCCCGACACACACACACACACACACACACACACACACACACAAATACCGGGATCAGAATGAGCACAGCGAGCAGTGCAGTTGGTCTTTCTGGCTTGCTCGTGAGCCACAGGCCTTTCTGTCCGTTCACAGTTTCACAGAAATGGGTGAATATTGTTTGACACTGACCATAGTCAGGTGTGCTCATTCATTCCAGAGTCTAGACAAGGAGCAGTAGCCACTTCCTTTCCTCAATTTGCAGTGTTTTCCTGTTTCACTTATAAGATAGGCCATCCCGCTCAACCCTAAAGGGCCATCTTGTGTTCATCGCTGTCTCACCTTCCCCTCCTTGGTGACTACAGCCGTGTCCCCTCTGAGCCATTGTCTGCCTGCTCCTTTCTTCCTGTTAAACCTGACAGTGGGTTTGGCTTTCGTGTCTTTATTTTTCCACAGCCAACAATTTAAGGGCTTACTGAAGGGAGGCTGTTTTACGAGTCCTGCCCTGGCCCAGTTGGCACAAGTGAAAAATGCATCCCTTAAAGAGCTGGGAGGACAGACTCTCACAAGGATCGCGCCCCAGCTGTTTGCATGGACCCGTGCGGAGCCACCAGGCGCGAATGAAGGTCAAATTGGCCAACTGCAATGAAACAAAGGCTGGAATGGGAGGCCTTGGACATGCTCGGCCTCTTGAACCGCATGCCTGCCGTAATTATAGGGGCTGGAAACAGGCCAGAAGGAGGGAGATTTGCCAATCACAAGAGATGCCAAGAGGCTGCTTTGAAAAGGGGTTGGTCCAAGATCCACAGGCTGAATCCATCCTGTCTGTCAGTTCTGGACTAGGATGGTGGTCAGCAAACTGCGGCTCTCAAGCCACATGCAGCTCTTTGGCCCCTTGAGTGTTCTACTGCCACTTCTTCAAAATAGACTTGTCCAGGCCAAAAACCGACTTCTGCACACAGGCCACGAAATTTCAATCGCACTGTATGTGCACGCCCACACGTGGCATTGTTTGGAAGAGCCACACTCCAGGGGCAAGAGCCCCATGTGGCTTGCGAGCCGCAGTTTGCCCACCACTGGCCTAGGAGTGCGGGCCTGTGTTTGTCTTCCCTCTGAGAACACCCGCAGGCGCCCTTCCTGCATTTGGCGGTCAGGCCTTTGCTGTCATGGGCCAAGCTGCTTTCGGTTCCGCAGTGGATGGTGAAAGGAAGAGTTGGGGGAACAACCCAAGCCTGGCTCAGTGTCTGTTTGCCGGGGAGCCTTGGACACGCTGCTGCCTCTCTCTTTCCTCGTCCGCACAATGGTACTGCCACCCGGCGCCCAGGGCGGCTGTGCGAGATTGCACAGCCATCACTCAGTAACCGGTAGCTGATAGCGAGGGGGAGACGCAAGAGAAGGAAGGAGAAACAATCTTGGATCACTGTTTGGGTAGACGATGACCCAACATTGCTCAGACCCACAGCCCTTATGCTCCACCACTGGCCCACACTCAAAGTTGTTTTCAGAGGCTGGTAAGCACTCTGCCTCTCCCAGTTCATTAGCAACAATGCCCTAATGCATGATGCAAATTAAGAGAAAATTAAAAAATTTTGAACTACAAACCTCAGAAAGTCAGGGTATTAGAAATCCAGGCCATAAGCAGTTTTTCTTTGTGATCCTCCCTTGGTGCAAGGCGGGACAGCGATGGACACAGGATGGCCCGCTGAGGGCTGTGCTGGCTGGCTTGTCTTGTAAGTGAAATGTGTCACTGTGAACTTAGGGAGTGTGACAGCACCCAGAGCTCCACTGCATCTCAAATGCAGAACGTTTGAACTCTAACATGATGAAGTTTCACTGTAAAAAGAAAACACACGGACTTGTATTTCTTCTCGGCTTTTATGGTTCATTCAGTTCTTCAAGGAAAATGTCTGTTCCTCTCAAGAAGCAGACCGTGGGCCAATGGCTGACAAAGTCATGCCATGACTCCCCTGGGACCGGTCAGCGATGAGGAGTAGAGACCCACGCAGGTGACGCTGTCAGACATGGACGCAGAGGGATAACGTGCTCTTCAGATTAGTGTCTGTCTGCATTATGACAGGTTGAGAAAGTCTTACAATCACCCCGGGCATCGCAGGTGGAGGAGGAGGGTCTCAGCTCTCAGTTAACTGGTTTAAAAAAAACACACACAAAAAAAACACACCACTATTAGTATGTAAAAAAATAAAAATAAAAACCATTGGTATTCCCATATGCCTAGGCCAGATATGCTAAGTTACAAATGCCTTTCTGTTTCTTTATTGCGAAAGGCCAGGGTTCGTTTCCTTCAAACTCAGAGCGACTTGCTTGTTTTTCTGGGCAGCGCCATCTCGATCCTTGCTAACCTCCCCCTGCTTTCCTACAACCACCGCCCACCAGGGCCTCCGGAGGAGCCTGCTTCCACCCCTGCTCCAGTGCTAGGGGAAGCTCACACGGGGAGGCTCACCCAGGGGGAGGCGTGCTGTCCGGCTCCCTTTCCACATCCACACAAGCCCAGGGCAGTGTGAGGGAGAACTGAGTCACCCCGGTCGGCAGCCGGAGGCCTGTCCATCCTGTTTGCACAGCGTGTAATTAAGCGTCAGCCACACCAGTGATCAGTCTGATGGCTGCAGCTTTCTGCAGACTCAGTGGGTGGAGAGCTCAAATCCTGCAGCTTGGGTTTGAATGAGAGCCAGCCCTGCCCCCTGCTTACAGGTTGGCTGACCTGGGGCTGTTACTCAACCTTTCTGGGCTTTTATTTTCTCGACTGTCAAGTTCAGATCATCCTGTCTACTCCCTGAGCCCCAAAGACCATTCCGAGAACCCAGCAAGCCCATACCTTCCCTCACTCAGCAGACATCGTCCGTTCACACATGCTCCATAGAAGGCTTTCTGGGCGGCAGGTACTCACAGGGAGGGTTTTAAGCAGCTCCCCTGACACAAGGAGCTCTCAGAGAATGTCGGGTATCCATTTCCATTTCACAATCAGCGGGCAAATGGAAAGAATCCCAGGCAAGCAGCCATGTTTTCCATAAAGTCACCCAGTCTAACGGCAAGGGGGCTGGAGAGTGCAGGCTCCCGGTGACCATGTCGAGGCCTTAATTCAAGGTGTTCTGTTACTGGTGTGGTTCGGTGGTTAGAGTGCTGTCCCATGCATGAAAGGGTCATGGGTTTGATTTCTGGTCAGATTTATACTCAGGTTGCAAACAATGCTTATTTCTCTCTCCTATCTCCCCCTCTCCCTGCCCCTCTTTCACATTCTCTCATCAACGGA